GTTTTAACGTGTTATTAATCATATTTTCTTCGTCAATTGCTTTGATGATTGTTGGTGTTGTTTTCGATGGTAACGTTTGTGTTAATAAATTTGTGGTTATAGAATTATTTAACGTGTTGCTATTATTTTTCTTCATTTCATCAGTGTTTTCATTATCGTTTTCATCTGATATATCTGAAATTTATAGAACTAATATATAGTAAACAGTATTAGAAAAATACTTGTCTCATCTAATTACATCAACAAAATGCAAGGACAAAACAGAGACGAATATGAAGCCTCTACCGGAGAGATACTATTACATCGCTCAAGATTTCTACAATCACTGATATGCATACCTGAATAAGCTGGCGAAGATGGTGGTGGATAATTTATTTGCTGTTTTGGTTGTGACTGCGATATAATTTGTGTAGATGATAAATTTAATGGATTAGATACTGGATGACTTGAGGATGACGTAGAAGAGCAAGATGATGATGAATTTGAAGATGTTGTACTCATCAGAGGTGATGTTGGTCCAAATAATGTTGGATTCATTTTACTATGATTATTATTTGTTAATAACGTTGAATGTTCTTCATCTTTTAGTTTTCGTTTTTTCTTCCGTTCTTTGACGTTCGTCGATGTTGTCCATAACGAATTATTATTAACTAGATTTTGATATATAGAGTTTGACGATGGTTTTGATTCTGTAAATAAATACGGAATATTTCCATTGTTCAGAGAACGCGGTGACAAGTATTGTTGAGGTGGTGGAGACACAAGTGCCGTTGATCCGTTACTTAACATTTTATTGTGTAAAGGAGATATCGTTGTAGGTGATGGAGAAGGTCTTGGTTGTTGTAATGTTGTTACCGTAAGTGGATTATATGCTTCCTCTTTAATTGGTAGTAACACATGATCAGCGTATTTCAGTGTATTAGTTTTAAATGATTTTTCATATTCAGACGATGTATGGTGACTATTGTTTTCGGACAATGATAAATAGGACGTTGTGGGAAAAATTGGTTTAGGCAATGAAGCTGAAACGAGTGATAATTTACGATAATTTTCTTGTTTTGAATTTGGTATTTGATTAATATCATCCAAGGTAACTTTCGGTGGATAAACAGTAACAGCTGTAGTTACTTGTTGTTTCTGTAGTTCACTAAACAATAATGGTGATTTTCGTGAATTTATCAATCGATTATTATCAGTTTTCAGTGATGTTGTATGTTCGTTGTACCTAAAATGTACAATGTAGTATATAGTAAGTTACAAAAATTCAGCTCAATTTTCCTTTTCATAAAACTACTCTTCAATTGCCTTCGGATTAGGACTTCAAGTAATCAAAACATATTTTCTTTCCTCTCAGAATCTACTTTAAATTTAATATAAAAAGCAAATTATGTGTACCGGCTGTTGTTGTTGTTGTTAGATATGATAGAAACTGGTTTTGTTGATAATGGTGGCGAAGATAATGAGTTATTTGTAGAATTTTGTAAAGAAGGGGTCTCTGATAGAACAGAGGTCATTGGTGATGATAAAATCATTTTTGATTGTGGACTCGGCCATGATAATATTGTTTGTGGAAGAGATGTACTTGGTGAAATAGACGATAATAATGGTGAACTCACTCTATTTATAGTGCAGGCTGGCGGAATAATAGAGATAAGAGGTGGCGAACGTGATTGTTCACTTTGATTGGAAGTGATCGATGATGGTGCGGGTGTATTTGTTGTCGATGAACGAACATAATCGGCAACATTGGCTAATATATGTGCAACATCTTCTTCGTGTGTACTATGTTTTTGATCAATTAATTCATTGTCTTTATTATCAATATTATCTAACAGAGATATAAGTGGGTATTCTTGTTCGATGGTCGTTTCAATTTTAATATCAATTGTTTTATCGTCACACTTGGTTGCTGTTGTTGCCCCATCGGCTTTATTGTCAGTTGTCACTTTTTCTTCTTCTAAAATTGCTGAATTACTTATTTCTTCAGCGGTAACCTTGGATGATAATGTTGCAGTACATTCTTTTTTATCTGCTACAGGTTCTAATTTTTGAGGTAGATCATCATTGTTCAAATCCCAATCACCTTTAGCATGGGCATAACCAAGATGATAACGTAATGCAATAATCGATGGATAACGTTTAAAGCAATCGACTTCTGGGCACGGGAACATACTATCGATATGACACGATAGAAACGATTCGGTTGTATTCGTGTGAGTTGAATCATTTATTGGTGTTTGATGTAGTTGATTATTATTATTAATGGCCGAAAAACATCGTTTATCAAAGAAAAAATTTGTTGTAGTTAAGTTCGTTCGAAATGGTGAATTCAATGGTGATGGTGTAGTATTATCATTGGAAGTTGTATTATTATCAC